AATGGGATATAATGGAATATCATTGGCGTCTGCTGCACACGTAGCAATAGTTTGGTTCAATGATTAAAACCATACCATACCACACAATACTGTACCGTACCATATTGAATTGTCTGGTAGATGATTCTGTGCACGCACGAGTAAAGTGGGAAACTAAGTCAATCGTAAAGAGAGAATATATAACGGTGACCGCAGAGTCATGTGGAATATGACTGTCGTTTGTTGTACCGTACCATATTGCAATTTCGGCCGCACGGAAGCATAGAGACGTAATAACTCAAATGGTTTAGAGGGAGCCAGGAGATTATGGATGTAGGTTTTAGGTATTCTGTGGTAAACCTGCAAAGCTGACTCAGATTGTAAAATAGTACTGAGCTATTTCAGCAAGAAGTGACATCATCATCATGTAGTTTTCGAAGCATGCTTATTGATCGGAGACAGATTATCAACTTTTTTCATTTTGGTGTAAATTGCTCCCCTTGGGCAATTCAAAAATCACCAGCACATAAACATGTAAAATCGTTAGTAGATAGTGGGAGATAGCGACGTAACAAAAAACAAAATTGCATATAAGAGCACACAAATTAATGTCAATAGTATCTTGCATGTGACAGCAACGTGTATATCATACAAACAATGAATTCATTGAAATAGAGGCCGCCTATACTTATATTACCCTGTAATATAAACTGTGCTTTATCCAGAACCATGCTCAGGCACGGCTCTGGATAGCCATTGTGTATCGAGAACCGTGTCTGGGACAAATCTACGTTCTTCAATAATACAGGGATACTATCCAGAACCGTGCCTGATCCTAACCGTAACCCTAACCCCAAGCGCACAACTAGATTGGCACGGTTCTGGACACAATACAACCTGTCCCGATACGGTACAAAATGGCACCGTTATGGCACATTGGATCAAATACTTGTTATCGATACATGTCCCCGATGAGTGTCTAGTGTGCTGGAACCAGTCATAACGGCCACAGAACCTCGTAATCGCACAGCAGAGACTTTCTAATGACGTCTGTGTGAAAGTTTGGCGCGCTAACTGCCGGCCCGGTGCGCTTTCAGCTGGAACCGACAGAAATAGGCTTGGTTCCCCCTGCGGTAACACCCCGCACATACCCTGATATTACAGTCATCAATAACCGCGTCAGGCGCTCCTCAGGGTACCAGACACCCGGCAGCACCGGGCGAACGGGCAATCTGAGCAGAGTGAGCAGTAATTGCGCTCCTATAGAGCACTTAAAGTGCACTTAAAGGTGACGTCTCATCAACGTTACTCGCTGCTGTTAAGTGTTAAAAGTTTTGGCAGTTGTATTAGCGTTGCAATTTTTATAAACTTGAATGAGGAGTGCTACCTATCTCTGATGCCCATGGCATTGCCGTTACACTGGTCATCAGTAAACAGTAATGGGGCTCGCATAGAGTACTTAAAGTGCACTTAAAGGTGACGTCTCATCAAAGTAACTTGCGGCTGTTAGTGTGCTGAAAGGTCTGGAGGTTGAGTAGCGTCACAATTTTTAAAAACTTGAATGAGGACTGCTATCTATCTCTGATGCCCATGGCATTGTCGTTACACTGGTCATCAGTAAACAGTAATGGGGCTCGCATAGAGCACTTAAAGTGTACTTAAAGGTGACTTCTCGTCAAAGTAACTTGCGGCTGTTAATGTGCTGAAAGTTCTGGAGGTTAACATACTGCAAAAGCTTGGTGTTGTTTGAATCCGATAGAAATAAGAAGTGTCTCAACAGTCAATGAACTATCTCTGCAGTTCCATCAGGACTGCGCCTGTAACAATTAAACATAGATCACAGACCGTCTGGGCGTGCCGGCACGTCGGCAGGTTACCGCAGGTTCCGCAGAATGACCCGGTCTGATTGGCTACATTGATTGTAACGGACTGCAGCAGTCAAGGTTCTAACGAAGTTGACTCTTCGTCCATGACCTTGGCAGTAATCCCGACCCTCCTCAATCGTCATCCTCGAGCTCCCATGGCAGGGGCAGCGGCTCCGAATTCCTTCTCCACCAGTAGGGGTGGAGAAGGAATTCGGAGCCGCTGCCCCTGCCATGGGAGGATGTCAATCGTGAGTGTTTCCAGTAGCACGCAACTCGTGTGGCTCCCGGGTGATGTTTGGCTACATGCCTCGCACGTCTGCGCTGACGTACGAGCTATTTTCCTCTCTATTTTTCTCAAAGTTTCGCCAGGAAGTAAAGGCGTCCAAGTGCGTAATTGCGCTGGCGTCAGATTTATTTGTGACGTTATAAGCAACGGTGTCGACGTCAGTGCTTTTAATTCATTGGTTGGTTTATACATGTATTCATCTGAATGATTCAAACAAAAACCATTAGAATCACATTCTGTCACAAATTTATACTTTCATTTTGGATCTTTTATTATATATCAGAAAACATGTATCCATTTTTCAGCAATACTTTATGTTGAATCTGTAATATTCTGTAAATATCATTCTTAAAGTGTTAGACCTAGTACTGATAGAGATGGTTTGGCACTTTTATTGGGAAACTTCAATATCAATTTATCTCCTTCAATTACTGAGATCAAAGATCAACTAAAATGAAAATCTCACATCGATTATTATTATTATATTAGACATATCTATATTAATGTATGCTGGAACTCAGCATATTTTTCACAGTAGAACGCTTGACAGATCTTGCAGAATAGCTGGATTCCTAGGATCCTTATCTTTAGGAAACTAAATCGGTTACACGGAGACTACATCGATGTCACGTAAACAGCCTAATCTTATTTGCGGCTCCTAATGTCATTTCCTCACTATAATTAGCATGGCTAATTTCAAGATTGATTATATCGAATTTTGAGCAGACAGAAGCTGAACATGTCTGGACCTTACGTGTATAAAGGTAACTTATCCAGGAATATGATATATACAAGATTTTATTATACGTTTCTGTTACTATACAGGGATCTTCATCGGTGAAGATCAATAGAAACGTCCAATAAACCTTGTATCAATCCAGTTGTTCAGCTTTATCAAGATCTATGTATGCATGGGTCCTGTTTCAACTATATGGTACCATATGGATGATATATATTGATGATATATTCTCTATTTGAATTGATATTTGGGCATGGTGGCGTTTGATGTAGATGTAGCGCACCACCTTGACAGGCGCGCAGAGACAGCTGGTTACATGACACATCAAATGACTTGTCACACCACAAGACTGGCATATCTGCAAGCTGTGTTCAATGATCAGGAAATAATGGGCTTTGACAGCATGTTGATGACGAGTAGCTGAACGCTATAAAAGTTTAATGGGAGAATGAATTTTCATGAAGCTATTTTTGTGGGATGACGAAATTGAACATATTGTTCAGACAGGCTTTTAGTGTTAAGCAAGATATAGTGTCACAAATATGCTACAGAACGGCGTAGGGTAAACGTTAACATGCATATAGGTATATAAATGGTGATGATGGTGGTAAA